GACAAGAATCTCGATGGACGCCATTTGTATACCCTGACACTCGTGTTTATGTTAAGAGGTTTTGACGAAGGCACATAAGTAACCCACAACACTAAGGATGGACCACACGACCCTCTTATATCGTACATCACCGACTGTTACTTTAATTGCTGCAGTTGTGGCTATTACTCGACATGAGGAGGACCTGTTGGTAATATAAAGTATATCTGAAATCATGGAACCGAACCCGAGTTTTGGTACTAAAAACTGTGGGATGGGATGGGATCTTTGATTAAGTTAGGTTAGGTTAAGTTAGGTTAGGTCAGCATTAGATGAAATAAGCTGAGGGATAATATTCAAGGGACCCGAGGATTCACTCAAATAATTAATATCAAGAGAGTCAAGTAGTTATTATTTTATAAATTTCTAAAATATTTCACCAATTAAATCTGCTGTAGATGGACTGCCTCTGTGTTCATCACTTTCAATTGTTTCATCTCTAGAATATAATTATATGGCAGGAATCAGGATGTACACTACTCGGTCGTAATGAGGAGGTGCTTGATAATAATTAGGAGTTAATTAACAATAACAATGAGGGCTATAGGCTCCTGTATAGACAAACACGACGATTCTACCTTATTAAACCTCTCTTGCTCTGACCTGTCATGAACATAATTAATTTTGATGTATAATTTTATTTATATATATATATTTTTTGCGAAGATCACCTTGTATGAGTTAAAGTACCGAATACTAGTAACATGTTTAGAGCGAACTAAGTTATACACTCACTCACTCACTCACTCACTCACTCACTCACTCACACACACACGCACGCACGCACACACGCACGCACGCACGCACTATTTACAATTAGAAACAAATAATTCATATGAAGACGAAGGGAGGCGTGTGGTGTCCCTGTAACCTCCTGTGGCCATGAGAAGACTAGGAAGGGTAGGTCAGAGTGAGAGCCCTGTGTGGCCATGGGGGAGGAGAGAGAGTAGGAAGCAGGCGAGGGAGGGTGTTGACCTGGCAATGCATGGTGGTGGTCTTGCCCCGTGGCGACGTGTCTGCATGATGTATGCCTGTTGCTCGCCGACGCTGCTTGGCCGAGGAGGTGCTGCAGGTACGGCAGTAGGGTGCGGCCAGAGAGAAGACGGAGGTTGGTTGGGGAGCCGGAGTACAGGTGGTGATGGGGCGTGGGTGGTGGCGGTGGTGGGGGCGTGTGGGTAATGTATGACGTGTGTGTCGGTGTGGGTTGTTATGGGTGCAGATAGTGCAGGAAAGGGGAGGTTCGGCCCGCCCCCGGACTCTCTCCCTGTAATCTACCTGTCCCCACCCGCGAGTTACGAGGAGACCCCCGCGCGCCACTCAGCAGTGCCCGGCCGCCGTCATCATCAGTATCTCTCTCTCCTTCTCCGCCGCCGACCCAGCAACATTCACCCACCGAGACATCTCTAACCTGCCTCTACATTAACAAACTCTTCATTTCTTCAGATATATAACCCATAGTATCTTGTTTTGCACACCAAGGTATTTGGGGGAACTCATCTATTAAAATAACGAGATAGAATTAACACTTGTTGGTAAGGATTTGTTATTTTGATCATGGGTTTAATATTACGGTTCTTTAAGCATCTTTTAAAGTCAGGTCTAGCAAGAGATCCCGTTTAAGTAGGCTGTCAGGCATCTATTAGCGACAACATTATATCACGGCTTTGATCTGGGCAAAGTTAGAGCTGGTGGGAGGAACATTACAGAGCCTCATGTGTCATTAAAGTGACGCCACGTATTGTGAAGACACAAGAGGTTGAGTAAAGTATTCTAACATAACACACGTACACGGTCATGGCTCAGCTCTCAAGTCTCAGCTAAGGTAGGGAATGTGTGTTGTATCCTCCAGAGGGAGTACGTGGACAAATGGGCGTGGTGGTGCTGGATGGGCGTGGTGGTTCTGGGTGGGCGAGGTGGTGCTGGATGAGTGTGGTGGTACTGCTGGTTGGGTGGGCGTGTTGGTGCTGGATGGGTGAGCGTGGTGGTGCTGGATGGGTGGGCGTGGTCTCCTGGTTGACCGTGATGGGGCGTGGTAGGTCAAATGACAATTGAACAGATCGTGTTTGGGCGCATTTGGTATGGCATGGAGAGAGAGAGAGAGAGAGAGAGAGAGAGAGAGAGAGAGAGAGAGAGAGAGAGAGAGAGAGAGATGTAAGTAGGCAGGGAGAAAAGGTGGAGAGGACAGACGAGGAATGCGTCAGGGGAAGGGGAAGCAACCTGGCTGTAAGTTATAAGGTTGACTCCTGGTAAGACTGAAGGCAGTGTGAGCCAGTTGTGTGTAGAGACAAGTGGAGGGGAGGAGATCGTCGTCAGTAGGGATGATGCCTCATGTGTTGTGGGGTAACACAAGAGCACTACTGATGTGACTCTTATGGAAACACTCACAATAAAACTACTTGATGTTTATCTTGTAAGAGAAAAAATACTCCAGGTGAACACGAGAACACCAACTTTAGCCAATCCTGTTGACTTGAGAGAGTTAAAAAAAATCTGAACAAAGCCTTTTTCTCTCCTTTATCAACTTAAAAAAGTAATTGTCATCTTTGCCGACAATGGAAGAGTAAATGCCATGTTGTGGCAGGTATAAAAGTGTAATTGTGATGGGACGGCGGCGTAACAAGCTTCATTGTTTCTTGAGAGGCGATTACACGGCGGGTCGCGGTGGCCGTCAGCGAGGCTGCCTCGATCACTTTCTTGGCCGAGTTGAAGTCTCCGTCGCTGGCAGCCACCTCCCTCCATCTGCCCGCTGGAGATACTGAACGGTGTAACTCACTCCAAAAAGTATCTTCACGGAAAGGTCCGATGAATTCCAAAATGAACACTGTTAATCTTATTGTCTCGGTGGGGTTGTCAAAATCCTTCGTCCGATGTCATATTATCTAACACAAAATCGTAAAGATACTTTTGGTCGCGAGTTTACAAGACGAGGCTATAAACATAACAGTAAAGAGATGAAGAGTTTGACAAAATACACCGAGAGACGTTAATTATTTTCTTATAATTGAATTAGTGAATATATCACAAACAAAATTATACAATTACTCCCCCCAAAAAATTACAAATTGCTGAACAAGAGAAAGAAAAAAAAATGAAACGAAATATGAGAGGCAATCACACTGACACACACCTCAAACACTCGAGCAACAGCCAAGGAGTCTGACGTCAAGGAGACAAGGGCGAGCTTACAGGTGTGGTGGAGCACATTTAACATAATCAACGCCACACTAACATAATCAACGTCACACTAACATAATCAACGCCACACTAACTTACCCAACGCCACACTAACATAATCAACGCCACACTAACATAATCAACGCCACACTAACATAATCAACGCCACACTAACATTATCAACGCCACACTAACATAATCAACGCCACACTAACATAATCAACGCCACACTAACATAATCAACGCCACACTAACATTATCAACGTCACACTAACATAATCAACGCCACTAACATAATCAACGCCACACTAACATAATCAACGCCACACTAACATAATCAACGCCACACTAACATAATCAACGCCACACTAACATAATCAACGCCACACTAACATAATCAACGCCACACTAACATAATCAACGCCACACTAACTTAATCAACGCCACACTAACATTCAATGCCACAATAAAATATTCAATACACACACACAGGTGTTAACAGGCTGTGTCTTCAAGAATTAGGAACCACTGATCTACACCTGTATGTATTGTGTATAGTTGTGGACGTGTTTAGATTCAGGTGACGGGGTTAGAAGAGGTGTAGGTGGGGTAGGTAACGTGAGGAAGAGGTGTAGGTGGGGTAAGTAACGAGAGGAAGAGGTGTAGGTGGGGTAGGTAACGAGAGGAAGAGGTGTAGGTGGGGTAGGTAACGAGGGGAAGAGGTGGGTGGGGTAGGTAACGGAGGAAGAGGTGTAGGTGGGTAGGTAACGAGAGGAAGAGGTGTGGTAGGTAACGAGAGGAAGAGGTGTAGGTGGGGTAGGTAACGAGAGGAAGAGGTGTAGGTGGGTAGGTAACGAAGAAGAGGTGTAGGTGGGGTAGGTAACGTGAGGAAGAGGTGTAGGTGGGGTAGGTAACGTGAGGAAGAGGTGTAGGTGGGGTAAGTAACGTGAGGAAGAGGTCTAGGTGGGGTAAGTAACGAGAGAACGGTGTAGATAAGGTGGGTAGCGGGAGTGTAGGTGGACAGGTAAGGAGTCCTGAGTGGTGAGGTGGTGTGGGTCTGGCCAGGCGCTACTCACTGGCCCCCCACCGCTGTGGCTCAGACCAGGGCGTACCGGGTCCCTCTCCGCCCGTTTCTATACACAGCACACTCACTCCTCTACTACATTTGTCACTGTTTTAAAACTCTAGGTGATCTTAACACCAAGATCCAGGTCACTTACTCGGCGGTAATGCAGTGGCAGGTGGGTGTTGTGTTGAGGATGATGGGCAGGTGTTCGTGTATCGGGTTGGTAGGTAGGTAGCCACACCGCCCTCTGCCACTGTAATGTAAAGTGGTTAGAACCCACCACAGTATTATCTCTATACAACAGATTCATGTAACCGCTCAGAGTTCTATTATTTGTGAAACCGAGGTGGCCGCTGGCGAGGTGCAGATGGTCTTCAGAGACAGCAGATGGTGGTAGTGTGCGGCCGAGATGCCAGCAGGAGATGGCACAGTACAGGTGGAGATGCTGACCACGTGTTAAGAGAATTAAACAATACAGTTTAAACTGAAGGATGATGTGCATCTGGCGTAGAATACAAATAAATTATGTATTCCTGTAACATTCTAGTCACATGGAAAGTCTGACTAGAGACATTTTCAACCAGACATAATATTTAATAATATTAAACATTAATGCTTATGATTTGTACTCTCACTTTTCAGAAATAAAGATTATTGTAAGATTTTGTACCTGTGTGTTTCTTGCCAAACCAAACGTAACCTTTGTGTGTTTGTGTTGCAGAACGAAGGAGGCGCAGGAGGTGTATGAGCGGGCCCTCTTCTACGACAGCACGAACCCAGACATCTATTATAACGTAAGCCCACACCTCATCCACCTCCCCAGACAACTTTTTGAATTTAACATTAGGTGGACTTCCATATACGGCATCCCTTAACAAACAATTGTCACCTTATGTACAGGAATAATGGTATACATCACTAGAGACATAAAAAGGATTCATTTTCTATCAACCCAATCAAACCTAACCAACACAACACATAAGTACTTAACATTTTAATATTTATGCTTTGACGAGTGTCAGCCTGTCTGTACGTACAGTAGCTAAAGCAACTATCTGTGCAGGTGGGGGTCGATATGCTACCAAATTTTACGTGTGACTAGTGACAGCCCTCATATACCAATATTTATCGTCCATGGTCTCATATTGCTTCCCACAAAGTATGCACAGATAGTTATTTTAGCTATTTTACATGAGGTATGGTTTTCTTCAAAAGACCTGTTGATCACAATTTGTGGTACAGGTGTGTGAGCAGCAGGTGTAGTGATGATTGGCAGGTTTTGTGTGGCTGGTGAAAATGTGTATGCTACAGGTGTGTGGGTTTATTATATTGTTAGTGGTAAAGATGCAGTAGGAGTTGTGTTAGTGGTACAGGTGTGTTAGTGATATAAGTGTGTGAGTAGCAGGTGTTGTGTTCATGGTACAGGTGTGTTAGTGATATAAGTGTGTGAGTAGCAGGTGTTGTGTTCATGGTACAGGTGTGTTAGTGATATAAGTGTGTGAGTAGCAGGTGTTGTGTTAGTGATGCAGGTGTGTTAGTGATATAAGTGTGTTAGTAGCAGGTGTTGTGTTCATGGTACAGGTGTGTTAGTGATATAAGTGTGTGAGTAGCAGGTGTTGTGTTCATGGTACAGGTGTGTTAGTGATATTAGTGTGTGAGTAGCAGGTGTTGTGTTCATGGTACAGGTATGTTAGTGATATTAGTGTGTGAGTAGCAGGTGTTGTGTTCATGGTACAGGTATGTTAGTGATATTAGTGTGTGAGTAGCAGGTGTTGTGTTAGTGATGCAGGTATGAGATGAGCAACAGGTATTGTGTTACGGATACAAGTGTGAGTGAGAGTTGTTGCGTTGGTGTTGAGATATGGAAGCAACAGATGTCATGTTGCAGCTTGGCGTGGTGTTGCTAGAGCAGGGGCGGGCCCAGCAAGCATTGGCGTACCTGGACAAGGCCTTGGAGATGGACCCAGACCACCAGCAGGCACTACTGAACTCTGCCGTGCTCATACAGGTAAGGTCCTCATACTTCTTTCATTCACTCATGAATCTTCCTCCTCCTTAACTTTCTTTACTCCATCTTGACCTCTAGTATTTGGCCTCTTTCATCCTGGCCTCTTTCCTCCTCCTTGACCTCTTGTGTCTGGCCTTCCTCCCCCTTGACCTATTGTGTCTGGCTTCCCTGCCCTTGACCTCTTGTGTCTGGCCTCCCTCCCTCCTTTAGTGTCTGGCCTCCCTCCCTCCTTTAGTGTCTGGCCTCCCTCACTACCTGGCCACCCTCACTACTTGGCCACCCTCACTACTTGGCCACCCTCATAAATTCAGGGCCCCTCACTGTCAAACTTCCCTTATTGTATGGCCCTCCTCTCTCTCATAATATCGAGGTTATCACACCACCTTTGTTAGTAGCTAGATGGTAATTAATTAATTAATCTGCTGCGTGTACTTGAAGAATATGTAACCTCATAGTGTTTGTATTTTGTTCCTAATTCTATACTTTATAATAATGTTAAACAAGATGTGTAAACTTGTTTTATCACCTCAAGGGAATTAAGTCACTTGTTCTTTGTACCTAAATCGTATCAGCTGAAGATCAGTTCCCTCATTTCACTCTAATCTAATCTAGCCTAGCCTAACATAAACCTAAATTAAACCATAATAATGTTTATGTTAGAATGTTTAATCATCAAGTGAAATTAGCTGCAGTGGCTATTCTTCAGGTGATCCCCTAAATCCTTACTTCATGATATATTAACCCCCAAGGAATTACCTGTAATTGGTGTTAGTATCCATTAATTACCTGTATACCAGCTCATAATTATTGGCGACATAACAAATCTTTAACCTGTAGGAGTCCGGGAACGCTGAGTTACGGCCATTGGCGTACCAGCGGCTCCTCAGGCTGGTGCAGCGGGACCCCCTCAACGAACGCATCTACTTCAACCTGGGCATGATAGCTATGGATGACCGCGACTACCGTAACGCCGAGAAGTGGTTCCGCAAGGTGGGTGTTGGTGACTACTTCTAATAATAATGCATATGTATTTTGTAAATTCGTCATACAAGTTTACAATTGCTTTGACATCCATATACAGTATATAAACAATGCAGGTACAGTATACAGTTCGGCATGTGTACAGACAACGCAAGTATAGAGTGTACCTAGACGGTGCAGATATACAATTTCCAATGTACTGTTGGCATCATAGCCATTGAGGAAATTTTTGGTGGCTCAAAACACCGGGCATCTTATCGAGTTTGTAGGTGATTCAGTCATGAAAAAATACTACTTAATACCTTCAGGATGTGCGAGATGTCTCCAGCGGCCACAATTTTATCACGTCCTATGATGCCAACTGTACCTGGACAATGCGGGTATAAAGCAAGAGTAAACAGTAAGGCAATTCAACCAAACCCTCAAGGCTAAGACACGACAGTGTATCAAATGTGTTCATTGAAGCTAAGAATATTATTGAGCTCCAGTGACAGTTTAGTATAATACGTGTATGAGGATACCATCTTGTTATTAACCTAAGCTAACCAAAGCTAGTCACACGTAAGCTAATTAACCAAACATACCCAACCGCTACATAATTAATTATACCTAATTATCTAATACTTACACTAAGATAATTTACTGAACCTAGCCTAACGTAATAAACCCGCGGCTAGCCTAACCTATCCTAACTAACCAAAGTAAAATCAATCCATGTCATGAGAAGCATATCATCAGACGCTGTGTGGACAAGGAGAAAACAGCGTCACCATATTTCGTACAGTGGTGGTTGACAATACCATAGGGAAGGTCCATAGGGAAGGTCCATAGGGAAGGTCCCGGTAACAATTAAACGATGTTCAGTTTTTCACGTTTTAAATATTCTTCTCTTGTCATGAGAACAAAAATAAAAACTACACCTTTTGTTTCTGTTGACAAAATCTACAACTCTTGTCCCTCACCTTAAGGCTCACCTATCATCTCTCCACAGGCCATCGAGTTGAAGGAAGACTTCCGGTCTGCACTGTTCAACTTGGCGCTGCTGCTGACAGACGATCAGAGACCCCTGGAGGCGGCGCCCTTCCTCAACCAGCTGGTGAAACATCATCCAGACCACGTCAAGGGCCTCATCCTGCTGGGTGACATCTACATCAACAACATTAAGGACTTAGATGCTGCTGAGAAGGTCTGGTTTATCTTCATGATAATTACTTCAGTCTTAGTAGTTTACCTTCATGATAATTACTTCAGTCTTAGTAGTTTACCTTCATGATAATTACTTCAGTCTTAGTAGTTTACCTTCATGATAATTACTTCAGTCTCAGTAGTTTACCTTCATGATAATTACTTCAGTCTTAGTAGTTTACCTTCATGATAATTACTTCAGTCTTAGTAGTTTACCTTCATGATAATTACTTCAGTCTTAGTAGTTTACCTTCATGATAATTACTTCAGTCTTAGTAGTTTACCTTCATGATAATTACTTCAGTCTTAGTAGTTTACCTTCATGATAATTACTTCAGTCTTAGTAATTTACCTTCGTGATAATTACTTCAGTCTTAGTAGTTCTCCATCGTGATTATTACTTCAGTCTTTGTATTCTGCTAATTATAAGTTTATGGATTAATATATGTTATTGAACCATATTTTCCTGCCTATACAGTTGTTGTCTCTCTTGTAAAAGTATAAAATAATTGTCTTAATGAATTACTTGGTTTACTACAGTGTTACGAGAGGATCTTGACGGTGGATCCGGGTAACGTTCAGGGGCTCCATAACCTGTGTGTGGTGTATGTGGAACGAGGGGAGCTGTTGGCTGCAGAGTCTTGTCTCAGCCGCGCCCACCTTATGGCACCTCACGAAGACTACATCCTCAGACACCTCAAGATAGTCAGGACGCGATTGGCCAAATTCTCCCAAATGCAGCAGCAGCAGCAGCAACAGCAGCAGCAGCAAGCAGGGGTTGGGGGGAGTGAACGGACAGCAGCCTCCACTTTATCTGATGGTAGTGATGGCAGTGAGGGGGCCAGTGAAGCCAGTGCCACCAGGCCCAAAAAGACAGTCTTTATAACAAAAAATAGTGATAGCATTAGCAAAAATAATGAGAAAAAGTCTGCCCGAATGATGGAGGCGACGCTAAAAAATGACGCAAGTGATTCTATATCATAAGGCTCAGCCATTGCTGCAAGCATGCCAAAGGTACTACAGTCATTAGAAGGTGCGTAGACAGAGGTACTTAACAGTTGTAATAAACTTAATATGACTCAATACTATCAACTTGTAGTGTTATGGAGTGATTATTTACAAACTATGTAGTGACCCCTTGACTCCCTCCATCTCTTCTTCAGGGGAACCTTCACTGTTCCCTCACTTTGTCCTTCTATGCACATTGTATGTGAGAATACTGATCATGTCTCTCCTGCAGGTATAAGTGGTGTCTGGTCGTCCCTACTGGTGTGACCGGCAGGCGTCCACTACACACCTCCAGTCTAGGACCAGGATGTCGGGGAGCTTTACAGGACGCACGGCGGACACGGGCCACCAGAGGGCAGCACCGTTTCCACACCTAGATCCTCACCTCCCTCAGGAGCCCACTAACCCCATCATCTATTTGATGAAAAGAAAAGGAAGCTCTCGCTTAAGTGTTATTCATTCTTTTAACTGTTCAAAGGAATATAGTTTAATTAATTTTATCAAGTTAGTAATTATACACTAGTTATTGGTCATGAAACTTGAGCCAAGGCAGCAATAGTGTTGTTCTGGCGCCTGGGGAGGATAAAGAGCTGAGTGTGGAACTTGACACAAACAATGTGCCTCCAGTGTATCATGGTAAGAGATGAAGTAAGTGAAAGTGATCGCCATGAGTGGTGTGAACCCTGTTAGAGCAGCAGCCAATGGCGATAGTATGAACCCGAGCCATGGCTAAAGCATAAAAGAGCTTCTGACGAGAGTAAATTCATGTCTGGAAAGGCCGAGTGTTCCTCCCTGCCGTCCTAAGATAAAGAGAAACTGGACTGTGTTGGACTTTGTGGCTTCAGATGTGTAGCTGAAATCTTTGCCTCGATGAGGTGCTCCACAGCTAAGTCATCCCTGTAACCTTGATGACCAATGTCCAGTGCACCAGAGCCTAGGTCGTCCAGCTCTCAGTAAGTCAGAACACCTGTAGTGCATCACATGTACAGTGAGTGTATCAGAGTTCTGGCTCACTGGGTCCTGCATCACCAAGGGCCTGGTGTATAGTCTTCAATGTATGAAAGCTATATTTGTCAACATGAATTCCACTTATAATGCTTTTTATAATTGAATATAAGTTGCAGAAGGGAGATAAAAATATTGTAATAAAAAACAAAGAAACACACATTGATAAATGAGTAGGGGATAACTTCAGCTTTGAGAGTAATAATAATAATAATAATATTAATAATAATAATATTAATAATAACAACAATACTTCCTTCTGTTAACTGTGAATGTGATAAGTAATCAACAACTGCTAAATATTTTTTTCGTATGGTTAAGGTAATTTTCAGGGCTGTTGCTTTGTTTAGTATGATTATTATTATACATATTAGAGCCGTCAGTGAAGGTCCAGGCTAATGATTAATGCTCTTTGTTTAAGGCCTGTCCGTGATGGCCCAACCAGTGGACACTAAACTATATGATTTTCTCCCCATCCCTCGACCAGTGGTTGATTGAGTTCAGGTTATTGGACAAAAATATGTTTTATTTTTACCCCTTCCCCGTTTTAATACACCTCCAGGATGTAAACATGCATATAAACAAAACTAAATTATTTTGAAAGATTTTTTTTGTATGAATTAAACTTTATTTTGACCATAACTAAGTATATATAAATTAACAGTCGTGGGACTTTGAGTGTTTGCCGTAATATTTAACGCAGTAGACAAGTTTAGGCGAAGAATAAAACAGGGTATAGTGAAGTTGAAGAATGCATCGCTAAATTCAATCGACATTAATTACAAAATCGGAAGACAGATTAACGTATTTTTTGTTGTACACTAATAATATTAAATTTTAAAGTGTCCGTTTCCAGTGGACAATGCCACCAGGTCCCCCACCCCCTCCCCTCACTTAGCCTCCTGACCAAATGGTAAATAATCCCGTGACCGATTACTCCTGCACTTTCTTTATTGTTTAAGTAGTCTTTATGGAACCTTCTTCATGACCTCGTTTCATATTTTACACTAATAACCCTGTTTCTCCCTCCCTCCACCTTGCCACTGTTGAGGCCACCCGTCTTGCTGCTGTGCTCTAGTCTTGTCGTAATCTGTAGTTTTGACGTACACACAAAAGGAAATGAACCCACACACACACACACACACTCACACACACACACACACACACACTCACACTCACACACACACACACACACACATAATATTTTGCTTTGTTTGGTAAGTTACGCATTATTGAGTACATTGTGGGTGGATGGTGAGAGGTCCCGTAGGATGGCGTCTCCCACAGGTGTAAATATATAAGCTACGCCAAGCTTGAGTTGGAGCGGACAGTATAAAGAAAACGTTTATATCTCGTATTCCTCTCCTTATTAACTCTTTACTGTTGATGTCTTCTTCTCTGGATGTATGTGATTGTACGGAATGATAGCTTTTGATTTATACCTTCGAGTTTGTAAATGTTGGTATAGACAAGAAGTGATGTCTTGGAATGTGGTTTTCATCATGACTGATCGTTGTCCCCCCACTCGCATGTTGCTATAATTATTATAAATATTTACAATGAAAGATTTACCGCTAACGTCGGTGATTCTTGAGGCACGGTGAGTTGGGTGCCGAGACAGTCGCGGTGTGAATCACGGAAAGTGACCACAAACTTATGCATCACACTCGCAGAGAAACTTTTTCAAATAGTATTGATATTAGAAAACATCTTATAACAAAATCGTGCTTGATGTCAGATCCATTAGTTGAGGAGCATTGAAAACTTTTATAGCTGGAGACTGTATATTATAGTGTCTAGCTAGCCATAACTTCACTTACTGTGACAAAGAATGTTTCACTGTATAATATACAATGTACATTTCCCACACTCTCTTGCAATGATCTTGAAAGAGTAGCCATTTTGACTTTTCTGCTTTATTGCATGGCTAAGGAAGGTAGTTATAAATTTGTGTGAGAGGCTGTGGGAACCGCTGCAACTTGAGTCACTAAAGGTAAAAATTATCCCTTGGTCAGATCAACAGTGATGGAGGTCCTCACTCCAGATCTGTACTAACAGGTTATAAAAAAGGTGTCATGATGAAATACGATGTTTTAAACCTTCAGTGGTGCCTTTTGGGATAATGTCTGAAATGGTATTGTAAAAAACAAAAACATGTTTGTATATCAAGTTTTCATAAATTCCATGATATTTTTCTATGTACCATACACTCCATGTTCCCAGGTTTCCTCTTGGTGGTTCCAGTAATCGTAGGCAATGTGTCCTAGATGCCATATGTGTATCGCTTCCCCCTCCCTCCTCCAGTTTTCTCATTCATATTTTCCTCTTCTTTTTTCCTTGCCTCCCTCATCGGCTTTACTCCTTCTTGTATCCTTTGGCAAGACTTATGGTCATTAATTCCTATAAATATTAGTTTGTGTGTTTATATATATATATATATATATATATATATATATATATATATATATATATATATATATATATATATATATATATATATATATATATATATATATATATATATGTGTGTGTGTGTGTATGTGTGTGACTTATTCATTAACTCAGGACTTGGCTCTTATTTCTAATATTATTTCTGTATCATTCATTTGTGTATATCCTCATTTCCTGTTTCGACAAAAAAAAAATTCTTGCTCCCGTTACACCTTCCCTTCCCTTCCCTTTCCTCTGCCAGTTTCCTACCAATAATATTCTTCCTACGCTGGTGTCGGCCGCGGCTGGGGAGTGTCTAGGGGGACGTGGTTATTTTTTTTTAAGGGGGAGGGGGGCTCCTCCTGTTGGCCATGATGTAAGTGGCTACATGGCATCTCCTCTGAAAATATTTAATTAGAGGATTATGTATGTCGTTAGGCTGTTGTCACGGGAAGCTCGGACGTAAGAGGGTCTGGGTAACTTTAGAACGTAGTCTTTTTCTCTGTTACTTACATAGTGACTTGAACTTGAAGGTAGAGGTCTGCATGCGACTCTTGTTCCTTTGCACTGCAGTCATGGTGTGTGGCCACCATGACCCTCAAACGAGTCCTCCCTGCTCGAGTGACTAAACAAACAGATGCAAACCTCTAATATTTCCATCTTCCATGGTCTATATACTACTGGTAGACACCATGGTTATTAACTTTAAGTACTACAGTAATTTTGACACACCATGTTGAGCTGTACTGTCATGGTCTATTCTCCTCCTGTGTCTGCCTTATTTGTCCTCCTGTAACCATATCAAGATGGTGAAGACTGTAAAGAGACTGATAAAGTTTTAAGTTATTGTAAGTTCTATTGTGATTCCTGTTTATAAAACAGGTGGTGATTTTTTTGTAACAGATTTTCATTGAAATATCCACATATATATATAATATATATATATATATATATATATATATATATATATATATATATATATATATATATATATATATATATATATATATATATATATATATATATATTTAAGATTATGTTGTATATCCAATTTGAGTAAAGTCGTAGTCATTGCCGTGCATGAACTATGTAGATGACAGTTTTTCATTGTTGTTTAACTTTACGTTTATTGGAACGATAATGAAAGATTTGAAATAAATACCTTTATTGATCTCTGAAATTTTTATATTGTAACGGCGAGCCAGAGATTACCAGTGTGCGAGCCGAGTGATGTTGAGGAGAAGGAGGTCGGGCCACCCCGGCCTACAGGCTCCAGGTCCCCCTCCCTCTGAGCCCACTTTGGGTCGCCTGGTATAGGTTGAGATCTGATCTCAGTGAGGTTAGTCCTTGGCTTCTAGACTGACGTCCTCTAGTGAGCCCGGGGGCGTGGCCACAGCGCTTGCTGCTTCGCCCACTGCCACCACTTAAGGTCAACAGCACAGGACAAATGTTCTTAGTTTTCATTTTGAGCAAAATTACCAACCCATCACATTGTTGCTGGTAGTACTGTGAACATGTATAAAATGTTTCAATACTATTGTGTGGGTCTATCCCCGTATCTTGTGATCACTTGTGGTTGGCTTGTGGGCGGAGCATCAATAGGAGGCGTGTCCCTCGAGACGTGGGTGCTGTTGGTGGTGTCCCAGGTGTGGTGAGGCAACGGCACCGGAGTCCTCAGTGTCCTCACGACTCTCCCGTCTGTCCTGCCTGTGATACTGTACTCCAATACACGATCATCTACTCCAGTCGAGTTTCATTATCATGCTAACTTATTTATATCTTTTACATGACTGATGACACTGTGCAACAAATTTTGAATTTAAAATATATACAAGCACCATTTCATGTCAGATTAACGAAATCAACAATGTAAATTAGGAAATGAAAACCATTTTTGTATAACATCGAATTTGATTGAACTTTGATTTAATATAATATAACTTTATACTGTAGAGCAAATTTAAAGCACTATATTAGAAAAACAACAAACAAAAACACTTTAAAAGTATTTTGCCTTACGCTGCCACCAGTAAGCCTTCGCTGGCTGGTCAGTTATGTTACAACATCCAGCGGAAATCATCAAGCATTCCATTTACATTTATAGTGTTTCAATTGTTGCAACATCTTGATGAAGTTTCTCTCAATGCTGGTCACTCATCAGATATGTTTTCAGGAAAAAAAAGGACAAATGTGAGTGGAGGAAATGCAATTTGCGTGACATATTGCAGCCCAGACGTTGGTATCTTTCCAGTAGTTTATCTATCAGTGCCTTGTAGTTGACGTCTCTGTGTCAGCCAAGAAAACCGGTGCAGATGTTTTTGAAAGAATGCCAAGCTGCTAACTCCACGTCATTCATTGCCATCTCAAAATCATTATCAAGAGCAGGTGAGTTTGTTGACCTACAGACTCACACACACGTACACCTCACTTAGTTTGGGGAACTTTCCTAACAGGTATTTGAATGCTGGAAGATCCTTGTCCATTGCCTTGACCAAATGTTTGACGAGATCAAGTAGTAGTCTCAATCAAAAGCACTTCGAGTCACACATCACACAATAAGAGAGAATATTTTGAACCTTTATTTTGAGGGTAGCAGAAACCTTCCTGCTGAGAGACCCGGCGGTGTGGTCGCTAGAAACATTGTCCTTATAAAGCAACGGGTGCGTCAAGGGCAGTGTGGAGAGAGAGATTACTTTGATCCAAGTTTTCAAGCACCACAAACAACAACAGTTTCTTCCCCTGACAGCTGACCAACACTGACAGCTGGTCAACACTAGCAGCTGACCAACACTAGCAGCTGACCAACACTAGCAGCTGACCTATACTAGCAGCTGACTTATACTGGTTGCTGACCAACACTGGCAGCTGACCTACACTCGCAGCTCACGTACACTCGCAGCTCACGTACACTCGCAGCTGACAACACTCGCAGCTGACCTACAGTGGCAGCTGACCTACACTAGCAGCTGGCCTACACTGGTAGGCAACCTACACTAATAGCTGACCTACACCCTCGATGGGAACATGAGACCCATGACCAATACTCAAACTCCCCACGACTAAGAGCTTGTGGTCACTGATGGCTCTCTGTTCAGTGTTCTCAAAGGTCACTTGTGCCAGTCTCCATTGTAATATTTCAATTTAGTCATTGTAACATTCAACATTATTATTTCAAGTGAACTGCCACACTCGGAATGCTCGACCATATCAATAGTGTTGATGTTGCACCCTTTGTATTATTCTGGGTAAATAAGCAGCTTCAATTTCAGTCAACTTTGAATTTTCCTTTTCGTTTATATAATAATGTATGCCACACCCTCCCATCTTGCATGTGGTTATCAGTTAGGCTCTGTGAATGACATACGTAAGTCACACCTTCATGACTGAATGTTTTGGACCACCCTAATATGCATACACTTGTATATATTCGCATATACACGAGATAAATGTACCCATAACGCATTCCTACAATAATAATAATAATAATAATAATAATAATAATAATAATAAGAATCAATTACATCAACATCAATCATAGTTAAGGTAAACTGCTGAGAGCTGAGTATGCAGGACACAGGACCAGGATACAATAACAGGTCGATTACCCCATAAGACACAACAGTGGATCACAAGGAAGTGTGTGTATAACTTGGTGTAGTCACATCCAATACTTGGTTGCACGACCGTGACAAGAAAACCTTTTGAGAAATGTTTGAAAATTTGGTAAACTATTCGACTCCTGTAATGACCTCTGTCAGCAAATAGACAAATATAAATGTGGGTTAATTACATGTATTAATTATATAAATGGCATTACCCTAATTAATTAGATACAGGGCAATGAAGCACATATTATCACTTCCTTCTCACGTGTTAGATGGCACTCTCATGTCCTCCTCTCACCTCTAGTTGCTTGAGGTCAGCACTGAAGTGACCGGCCCTCTCTCCTCGTCCTTATCTCTGACACGGTGAACGCTCAGTCAACGGAGTTCTCTCCATAAGCCTCCTATATTCATCATTACACCAATATACTGTGAATACTACTTTTTGGAAGTCTCGGCCTCTGAAAGTCTCCACGACCTTTTGGAAACATACACCACTTTTATCCAGAAGACTGAAAACCTCTAAAGCATTTTCGAAATCACCAAAGTCACAGGAGGGTCCATGATTTTACAAATCGAAGGAGCTGTTGGATGAGGGAGTGTGGGGCCATGCTCCCCCAGGGAAAAAATAAAATAAAATCACTGAGAAACATTGTGCAGCAAGATGAGATAAACTTGTATTTTTTGAGAGGTAAACAAATTATCTGGATTTCTATTACACTAAGAAAACAACATATATAGTCTTTACCGTTGGAGACTACAGTATCAACTTATAATGTAGATGAAATAACTTTGTTCAATATATAAATAACTAAGACAACATTTATGAGATCAAATTACTCAGTGATTTATTTTTACCAATACAAGGGACTTGACTCACAAAAGTACGAAGTGCATACGATTCAAACTTTAATTACAGGAACTAATTTCTAATAATATATGTAACATGTAAATGAATAGAGTATAATATATATTTGCATTTTCTACACGGGCTCTTCTAAGGACTACTGTATGTTCACAGTTCACGAGAACATGTCACCACAAATAGATCTGTTCTTTGCTATAGACCAAGACAATAGCAAGGTAAGTCCTCTATCAACCGTGGGAGTGTTTTGAAAAATGGGGGGTAGGGGGGCGCACACGGTCAGTAAACCTCCACTACATTATGGAAACATTTAACACTTAACGGAGGATCAAACCGTATCCTAAGATTTACAGGACTAACTGAAAGCTAATAGATCCTCAGGGTTTCCTCACTACCTTCTACAACCTACACCACATAAAAGGCGGTGGGATGCAGCGGTCGGAAGGTCTTCTAAAACTGAAACCATTACAGAGACGAAAAACAAAACAAAAAAAACACAACACCTGAAATAAATACGAAAGTATGTGAGGAAGTGTTCACGGTACTTCCTTCAACTATAAAATAGCTTCACCCTCAAGCCTTTATTATGTATATTACATCTAAGTTATTTAGTGGTGAAGATATTATACTGTACAGCAACACAGGTAAGTCCGGCAGATACAGCTCGGATAGCAACTGAAGCAACTGTCAACAAACTGAATATTAACCACTACAGGAACACTGAAAATTATCTACAACCTGCGACTGTGTTGTGCGAGTTTATTGATTCAGGTTCTGCTCGGGGACTCCTTTACCTACAGTATAGGTCATCAACAGTGTACCATCAACTGAGAAATAAAAAAGCGTTTTAGTGATCCTCTGATGCGTCCAGTAATGTTAATGAACCATACTTATCCTGTCAATACAACTAATAAAGGATGATTTTGGTGAAATATACCCTTTTCACTAAGAACGCTCGGCATTGTCCCAAACGCCTATGACAACAATAATGTTCAATATATACTGCACAGCTTACGTAAGTGGGGAGCGCTTCTCTTGAGGGATACCGACGTTAAGCGCTCTTTGCTAGATTAAAGCGCACCGTGGAGCGATAACGCCTCCAGATGCAGCTTTACACGAGCCACTAACCTTAAACTTGTTGTTATGGAGACATGAAGACCTTCAGTATTGTCTGAGGCAAAATGGCAAGAAGACGCCATGCCTCATAACCTAAGAGGGTCGTAATCTCTTGACAATTTATGTGACCTACATGGCAATTTCTTCACAACACAGTATAACTTCCTACGAGCCGCAAGATTGTCGCTTTCACACTAACTTCATCGACCAGTACAAGGAATGATCATCATAACATTGATTCATTAATGTTTATGTTATAGATTAGATAATGAGGGTGGAATCGATGTCATTCTTGCATTACAAAACTGGGTCACACTACAGCACAGGGATCACACTACAACACGGGGGTCACACCACAACACAGGGGTCACATTACAACATAGGGGTCACCACACTACAACACAGGGGTCACACCACAACACAGGATGAGATAATACTGGAAATGTGATGGGCAATTGCATTTAAACGTCATACTTCCCAGATTTCTAAATAGTTTAAGAACAACTGTCCCAGGAGACGACCCGAGGGGCCCTGCTAGGGACGCGGGCGACTCGAGGGGCCCTCAGAGGGACAGCGGTGACCTTAGGGGTATTTCCAGGGACGGGGGCGCCTCCAGGTACGTTCCTAGGGACTGTGGGACTCCCAGAGGCCCTCCCAGAGGCCCTGCCAGCGGCGTGACACCTTCAGGGGCCTTTCCAGAGGCGGTGGCTCCCCCGAGGCCTCTTTATGGGGTGCCACTGATCCCAGGGACCCTGTCAAGGCCTGTGGCTCACAATAGGTCCTCCTTGGGGAGGCGGCGCCCCAAAACAATGGATAGTGGTGCCGTACATATTGCATTCTTCCAGTATTCTCTTACTTAACTGTGATTGGCGGAGCAAGATGTATCGTCATCAAATTACAGCCAATAGGAAAACAGATCAATCAGTTTGCACAACACCCCAACTTATGTTTTGCTGTTGGATATTTATTCTCCTTTTCATTGTTCAGGTTGCGATAATACTTAAAATGTGATGGGTGGTGTATTTATTTAACGTCATATCTCCCAGAATTTAAATAGTGAACGAGAGTAAATATCCAACAGCAAAGCATAAGTTGGGGTGTTGTGCTGACTGATTGTTCTGTTCTCCTATTGGCTGCAATTTGATGACGTTACATCTTGCTC